AGGAAGGAGAAATGGAGTCAGTTGACCATTCCCTTTTGATGACTTTAGTTTCCTCAGAGGAGTAGGATCCCACTATCCCACTGCCTTCCAATTACCCCTAGTCTCAATTGTTTTCTCCCATCCCCCACATCCTCCCAGGTATACCAATTTTTCAGCTGCCTCCCAGAGGACAAGGTCCCCTACGTCAACAGTCCCGGGGAGAAATACAGAATCAAGCAGCTGCTGCACCAGCTGCCCCCGCATGACAGTGAGGTGAGGAGAGAGAAGACAGGAAGGGCATGCCAGGTAGGGAGCACAGCCTGGGCAAATGCCAGGCAGCTGGAAAGAAATGGGCCGGATCAGAGGTGAGCTGATCTGAGGTAAAACATCTGAAAGGGCAGGGGCAATCAGGGGACGTTCCTTGGCAGAAACACAGCCGGGACATGGGAGAGGTCAGGGGTGGGTATTTCAGGCAGGAAGTACCATCTATACAAAGGCCTAGAAGTAAACTTTTTGAGCATGGATGAAATTTGAAAGAGGGTAGGGGGGCTGACATCACAGGAGGAGCCTGGACAACTTCCACCACCCCAGGCACAGTACTGCACAGCACTGGAAGAGGAGGAGAAGAAAGAGCTAAGAGCCTTCAGCCAGCAGCGGAAACGGGAGAACCTGGGGCGTGGCACTGTGCGAATCTTCCCTGTGACCATCACTGGGGCCATCTGTGAGGAGGTGAGCCATGGAGCGCCTCTGAGAGTGAGTGGTGCCTTTGCTCCAAGCCCTGGGGTTCAGGTCCCATATCCTTATCCCAGTATTAGTCAGGGATGGCCTTAAGGCCTTCCTGGCCAGTGATGTCTGTGTGTAGGGCCTCCTGGCGGATGGGGCCTGTCCCTCAGATCCCACTGTTGGGTGCGGTCTGTCTCTAAGGAGGCCCCAGTGGACCTACTCTATTAGTTTCCTGACCTCCACAAAGTGGAGGCTATTTGTCTGGTCCCCTTGTGGTTGAGACTCGTCCTTACGAACCCACCCACAGTGGCAGGACCTCTCTCTAGAGCCAGGTGGTGGGTGGAATTTGTCTCCAAGACCCCCCAAGGGTGGAACCTGACCTTAGATCCTACTGTTAGGTGAGGTCTGTCCCTACAGTTACCCCATTGGGTGTGGCCTGTTTCTATGGTTTCACCAACTTCCCAAGGGCAAGACTTGCCTTCCAGGCCACCCACAATGAGTAGAGCCTTTCTCTAAGGTTTCCCACAAGAGCAGTGTCAGTTTCTAAGGCACTTCCTTCCCCCAAGTAGGCAGCAACTGTCTCAAAGTTACCCCATGGGTAAGGCCAGTCACGAAGGTCCACCATGGGGAAGGCCCAAGTATGACACACACCTTGGCTGATCCTCATCTAACCATCTTGGTGAGGGTGACAGTGCTTATTTATCACCTGGCAGTGTGGGAAGCAGATTGGAGGTGGGGACATTGCAGTGTTTGCCAGCCGAGCAGGCCTGGGCGTCTGCTGGCACCCCCAGTGCTTTGTGTGCTCCACGTGCCGAGAGCTGCTGGTGGATCTCATCTACTTCTACCATGCTGGCAAGGTCTACTGTGGCCGTCACCATGCCGAACGCCTGCGCCCACGCTGCCAAGCCTGTGATGAGGTGTGTGCCTCTCTGCCCAGGGCGGGAGTGGAGGGCAGGCAGGGCCAGGGGCAGGCCCTGCTGATGGCCACAGATGGCCTGCACCCCCACCCCCAGATCATCTTCTCCCCTGAGTGCACGGAGGCTGAAGGCCGGCACTGGCACATGGGTCACTTCTGCTGCTTCGAGTGTGAAGCATCGCTAGGAGGTCAGCGCTATGTCATGCGTCAGAGCCGCCCCCACTGCTGCGCCTGCTACGAGGCCCGCCATGCGGAGTACTGTGATGGCTGTGGGGAGCACATTGGTGGGTGAACATGGCACTAGACAGGAGGATGTATGAACAGCTGGTCCATGGCCCCCGCTTTCTCCTGTCCTCCACCCCCAACCCCCTCCCCCGTTCACCGTTATCATGATCCTTCCAATCTAGTCCAAGCACCATAGCCCTATACCCTTCACTGCAAGTCCCATCACTGATATCCCCCATTCTGCCATATTTTCTAAAGCCCACCTACACAGCACAGAGACCACTACACATCTAGGCCCACCTCCAGAGTGATCTCTAATTCCCAGCACCCCAGGGCTACCCTCTCGGCCTAGCCCCATTCGGGAGGGGTGGTATGTGCCTGGAAGTTCTGCCATAGTTTTTCCCCGTGTGGTATCTCCTATGCCCTTAAGCTATACCCCATTCCCTAAGACTCTCCTCCATCAGCCTGGAAAAGCGATTTTCAACCGGTGTGCCGCGAGAATTTTTAAAACATGTAATACCTATTTAGTCAGGGGCATTGACCTCTTTTCCTTTAGATTGTCAAATTTAAAAAAATGTCAACAGCCAACATAACAATAGTCTTCAGGTGTGCACGAATCAAAATTATACCTGTTTTTGTCAGGTGGGCAAAAAATATATTTTTTTGGTGTGCCACAGAATTTTACTAATTAGTTTATGTGTGCCATGAGATGAAAACGGTTGAAAATCCGCTAGCCTAGTTACATCGTACTTTCATCATACTTTCTAAGCCATACCTTACTCTCTAAGAGCCATTCCTTTCCCACCAAGACCACTCTCTACCTTCTTTCTAAGCCTTGTCCCCACCACCCAAGGCTCTTTAAATCCACTCTCCTTCACCTGAAGCCACCTTTTACTTTCTAAGCCTGACCTACATCTTAGAATCAAATGCTCACCCGGCCCTCCCCCGCCCCTCGCCCCACTCTAGGAGGGAGCACCCTAGGAAAGAAAGTGTAGGGAAGAAGGGGACATTTATCAGCCAGTTTCCAGGCGAGGAGGGTGAGGAACCCTACGGGGTGAGGACCAAACCTCAAATTTCCTGCTTTCTGCAAAGGAGTGCCCATTTTTGGAGAGGTGGGGGGAGAGGGCATCTTGGGGTACCCTGCCTCAGATTACTGCACTCTTCCAGAGATGGGCCCCACTCGGGAGGGGTGGAGCATGCCTGGGGGCTCTGCCTTAGTTTCACCCCTCGCGGTGTCCCCGCAGGCCTGGACCAGGGCCAGATGACTTACGAGGGCCAGCACTGGCACGCCTCAGACCGCTGCTTCTGCTGTAGTCGTTGTGGGCGAGCCCTGCTGGGCCGCCCCTTCTTGCCACGCCGTGGCCTAATCTTCTGCTCTCGAGCCTGCAGCCTGGGGTCGGAGCCCAAAGCTCCGGGACCAGGCCACCGCAGCTGGAGCGCCGGCACAGTCTCTGCACCGCTCACAGCCTCTTTTTCTGCTGTGGAGGGGACGTCTGAGATCGCCACCAAGGACACCAGCTCCGAGCTAGAGCCTGGTGAGCTAACCCTCGAGTCCTGCCCAGCCACTCCCAAGTATTGCGCACTCCCCCCACCCCAACCCCAGACCCCTCAAGGTGATTCACCCAGGCTCCTCACCTGCTGCATCCCTGGCCTTGCCCCCAAACCGTTCCAGGCGTAGCCTCCACCGAAACTACACCCCCCTGAACCCTGGTTCTGCCCCCTTCTGTACAGGGCCCTCCCCTACTTCAACTCATACCTGCCTGAGCCCAAGTTCCTTCTCTTTCGCTCCAAACCCTTGACCCTCCACCCTATCAAAAGCCTAATCTGGCCCAGGCTGGTGTGGCTCAGTAGATCGAGCACCGGCTTGCAAATCAAAGGGTCGCTAGTTCGATTCCCATCAGGGCACGTCCCTGGGTTGCAGGCCAGGTCCCCAGTAGGGGACGCGTGAGATGCATCCACACATTGATGTTTCTCTCCTCTCTTTCTCCTGCCCTTCCCCTCTCTAAAAATACATAAAATCTTTTTTTAAAAAAAAAGCTAATCTGTACCAGCCTATGCCATGCTCCTTCTATCATAAACCAAGTCCCCTTGCACCAATCCAGTCCTGCTCCTTATGCGTCCCAACCTTGCACTCCCCTTCTGAATGAACCTGTCCCAGGCCTCATATTTCCCAGACTCTCCACTTCGCTGCCCCTCTCTGATCACTGCCCCCACTTTCCCAGTCCTGATAGGGGAAAGGAGAAGGCCCTTCCACAGGGTTCCTCTAAGAGAGGGCAGATATAGGGACTCCCTCCATCTCTCTTTCCAGCTGCAGGCCCTGAGGAGCCCACCCGTTTTCTGAGAGGGGCCCCTCACCGACACTCCATGCCTGAGCTGGGGCTCCGCAGCGCTCCCACCAAACCACCTCCAGGCACCCCCGGCCAGCCAGACCCTGAAGATGGTGCCTTCCGTCGACAGAGTGCCCCTCGCGTCAGCTTCCGGGACCCTCTGGTGTCTGAGGGAGGCCCTCGTCGGACTCTGAGTGCACCTCCAGCCCAGCGCCGTAGGCCTCATAGTCCCCCTCCCAGGGCCCCCACACGTCGTCGCCGCCACCGCCATCATCACTACCACCACCGCCACCGGTCTGGCAGACTTCACCACCATCAGTGTGACTTGGGATCCGGGTCGGACTCAGAATCTTGCTCTAGCTCACCCTCCAGCTCCAGCTCTGAGTCCTCAGAAGATGATGGCTTCTTCCTAGGGGAACGCATCCCACTGCCCCCTCACTTGTGCAGGCCCGTGCTTGCTCAGGACACTGCAACAGAGACCCCCAGCTCTCCGTCTCCACCGGGCCCAGGGATGCCTCGCCAGGCCAGAGACAAGAACTGCACAGTGGCTTGAAGGCAAGGCAGTCCTGGGAGATTCCATTCCTCCATTCTCAAGTCAGTAGCTAACTTGAGAATAAATCCCCTTCCTTCGTCCCTCAGTCTGTGCCATTGAAGTAATTTAATATTTGGTGTAAAACAGGCCTGGCTTCTTTACTTCCTTGCTCTAGCTACACCCCCTTCCCAATTTTCCCCCTCCTGGTGCTTGAGATTTATCCATATTTGCTCAAAGGATTAATTTATTCATTATCATATATTCTAACAATTTGTTTATTATTTATTTATATTTATCCCTCCACACTGAGGTTATTTGGAATGGCCCACAGCCTAGGGGCTGGAGTGTGAAATCCGAGGCACACTTCTTCCTCATTTTGTGGCTTAGGTGGGGGCATAGTCCAGGCAGAACTGGTGTCTGCTTTTGCAAACTTGAGAAGGGGGACCTAGACACAGCCCTAAAAGTGGCCACACCCAGGAGGGTTGATTGGCAGGCTGGAGGACAAATTCCGATAAAGGCACTTTTACCTCAGTGGGGGGCTGGGAAAATGGCTAGAAGTGTTTGTAGGGTTGGGGAGGAGTCATTTCAATGGAAGTCTTATTTGAAGGTTGCAGAGAGGCATGAAGGGAATTCACCTACACCGGGCCATCTGCAGGGTCTGCAAATGAGGAAAAAAGAGAAGGCAGTTTGGATCCATATGTCCATTTTACAAACCAAAATACTGAAGCTTATGGTACTCCCTGGCACTAAAGCCATAAGTACCAATAAGGGACAGAGCTGGCATTCATGCCCTTGGGAGACCCCTTTCCTTCTCTCCTCAACCACATCAACAGCACACCCTTGTGCATTCACACGCGCGCGCACACACACACACACACACACACACACACACTTACTTACCAGTAGGGGCTGCTGTATGTCTTTGCTGCCTCAAGGGGAAGGTGATATAGGCATCAAAGCCAAAGAGGCACCCAGCGATTAGGCCCATCACCTGGGGTGAGGATAGGAGTGAGGAGGTTGAGTTAGGCTGGTCAGCCTACTCGGTCTCGTACCCCCTTGCATCTACTGACTCCAGTGACTGCCCCATGCAGGGATGGTGACTAAAGACCCAGGTTGGGAAGCCAGAAAACCCCAGGAAAAGGTCAGGAAACTGGACTCCACCCCCGCTCTCCCTTCTCCAAGTACTGTGCAACACAGGACAGCCACTTGGTGGCCCCACATACAGGTGGCACCATTCACGGTGTACATTTGAGACAAAGTTCTAGCAGATGGCAGTCTGGTGTGTTGACAAAGATCCTGTGTCAGGCAAGGGATAGCCCTTTTCAGCAGATGATGATCTTGGGAGAAAAACCAAGGCCTGGGCCAGGCTGCCCTGCAGACACTGAGGACAAATGTGGCTTGCTGTGGGTTACACACTTTCTGCCAAAAGCAGAGAAAGAAATGGTCCCTAGATCCTCAAATCTCTCTTTCTGTGCTTTGGAGCTGCCTCCACAGCATTTACCCCTGCGATGATTTTGGAGTGGTTTCCTTTCTCAACGAGGACAATAATGGAGATGACCAGGTAGAGAATGGCTGCTATGAGGGCTCGGAAGAAATCCTGTAAGAGGTAGGGAGAAAGGGGAAGTCAGTGTCCAGACTTCCCAGGACAATCCCAACTGCCACAGCCCCTCCCTAGCCTAGCCATTTCTGGCCCCTTTCTCACACTCCAAGGCCAGTTGATGATCTTTATCCTGGTGTTCAGGTCACACATGTAGATGACAAAGAAGACAGCAGCAAAGATCATCTCAAACACTGACAAAGAGGAGTATGCCGGTGTGGAGGCAATAAAGCAGATCAGAATCACCAGGCACAATATCTGGAAGGACGACATGAAGAAGGGGGCCTCCATCAATTCCTGGGGCTGAGGGGATGGGTTTAAATCAGGGGTCTCAAACTCAGATGCCTACCAGGACTGAGAAGATGACAAATAATCATAGCTAAACAGTTCCTGTGTGCTCATTGTGTTAAAAATATTAAAAATACTGTTCTAAGAGCTGCACAAGTATTAATTCACTTAATCATCCCAACAACCTAATATGTTGGGTACTGTTATTAGTATCTTTATTGTATATACGAGAAAAGTGAGACACAGAGATGTTAAGTGACTTGCCCAGGGTCACTCAGCTAATAAGGGGTAGAGCTGGGCACCTCAGTTCCTCCCTCTTTCCATTCTAAGATAGGGGCGGCCTGCAGGGAGTGGCCCCGCCAGGTGTTTTGAGAGCACTGCTGGGGCCAGCTTGGGGCCTTGGCAGGACGGGACGTGCAGTTCCTCCGGCAACCCCTTTGGGAAACGGTGAGAGTGACACCGGAGGGGCAGGGCTCCGGTTAAAGGCATCGCGCCCCGTTTACGAGTGACTCAAAGGCGGCGCCCACTTTGACGGGGGCGGGAAACCAAGGCTCCGGACAGCTAAGGACCTCCTGCCCTACCACGGTAGGGCGAGAAAGAACCAGAGAACGGTGGAGCACCCTACCCTGTGGGACAAGCTTGAGGCTCCACCCCAACAGGCCCCGCCCCTGGGCGCGCCGCCAGCCCGCCCGTCTGTGCCCAGGCCGCGCCACGCCCTGCCGCGGGATGCCCCCCACCTCCCAGCCCCCGGAGACCCCTTCAATGAGCCCATGGATGAGTCCATGTGGTCCACCTCCACGGCGTCCCCCATATGCACCATGGACCTCTGGCCTCATCTCTTGGCCCAGCAGCTCCTGACCACCTTCTTCAAACCCCACTGACTTACTCTGCGCCCCTGGTTTCGGGCCTCCGCCACTAACCCACTTCCCCCAGTCCCACTGCCCAGCGTCTCCGGCCATGCGCCTGCCTTACCCGGGGCCTCCTGCTTCCGCAGGATCCAGCCACTCTACCCCGCCTTTGCCCACCCGCCAATCCAGGGACTCTCACAATCTCAGCAAGCAGAAGAATTCCCTTGAGGTTTCTCGCGAAGTTGGTGCAGGCGGCCCAGCAGCCGGGAGCCGAGAAGCGGTCGGAATCCGCCATCGCGTGGGCCAGAATCCCTAGGGGCGCCGATGATCTGCTCGCTTTCTCGCAAGTTCGAGGACACTGCACACCCAGCCGTCTAGCCCGCCGTTTGGCCGGGAAGGGGGCCCGGGGGCGAAGAAGGGAGTGATTCACCGAGCCGAGCAGAAGCGGGCGGGGCCTGAGGAGGCCGGGCCAGGTGGCTGCCGCCCCGGAAGCCCCCTTGCCCCGCCCGCCATGGGTAGTCTCCACCCGGAGCACAGCCACCGGGGCACCTCATCTCCGGAGATGCCAGCCTTTGAGGCTTGGCACTTTAGGGTATCTTGAACGGTAATGGCGAGATGCTTTGCCGTTTTACAATACGAATGCTCCCGGAGTTGCTTCATCTCAGAAGAGGGGAGCTTGCCTTTGGGAGGGAGTGACTTAGTTTCCATAGCTGAAGAGGAAAAAACAGTCGAGGCCCTGGTGAAACCCAGATATGTTTCCAGGACTCGGAATATTTCGAATTTTGGAAAATTTTCCCTGTACACAGTATAGTACTTAACAGTCAGTGGGGAGTGAGACTGCCCCATTTAAAAACACACACAGGTTAATATTTCCTCAAAAGTGTGGACGTTCACAATGAGTGGAATAAGTTAGGACTGAACATTGTGCCTCATTAAGTCAGGTCAGGTATTGTAACCGAATAGTGCCCAATTATGAGAAAACTCAGTTTTCAGAGCTTTGAGGACTTCGGAATTGTGGGTAAAAGATGGTGGACCCTGGAATAAAACTCTTAGCAGGGATGGCAATAAGACCTTGGTGGTTCACAGGCCAAGAGAGAACAGAGCCTGGTAAGCATGAAACTGCTCAGTAAATGGGGGCAAACATTATTAATAATAGTTTCAGAGCCCAGGGTCTGTCTGATTCTCTGTTCTGCAGTCCTAGGGAAGTCTGGTTTTCTGGTTCTGAGGAAGGGGGATGTCAGCCCAGCCCTAGATGAAGAATGGAAAAAGATCCTGGGTTTTATTACTAGGAGCTTGGCAAGATGAGGGGAAGGCTTCTGGGGTGCCAGGCTGGGTGGCAAGGCTGACAACGCTTGGAGAGTGTGTTACCCTGAGCAAGTAATTTCTCCTGGCTCAGCCTATTTCTGCCTACCTGGTACGGGAATCTGGATCTCCCCTGAGATGTGCTGGGGGGCACACTCTCTAGACTGAACATTGGTTTTATTTTCATCTCATTTGAGGAGGCAAGAGTTGTGACTGGAAGGCCAGGATAGTTCAACCCAAGGGCTTGCTTGCTCTCCATTTCCTAGCCCTGGGCCCCTCAAAAGCGAAGAAGGAGCTCCTCTCTTTCGGCCCAGTGAGAGTAATTGGATAATGGAAGGGATGAAACATACTTTTTCCCAGCACTCCGTGTGTGCTTTCCCACTCTGCAAAGACATGCTTGCATTTCTAGAACACAACAAACTGCTATGCACCAGGTCCTTTGCACTTGATGTCCCCACTGCTGTCAATGCCCTTTCCCCCAGATCTTTACACATCTGGCTTCTGGTCAGGCAGGTCCCAGCTCAAATGTTCTATCTTTAAAGAGGCCAGCAGCCCATCATAATTACCTTCCCCAACATAACCTCCTTTTGCTGTCTTCATAACTCTCGCTTCTTTCTGATATGACTCATTTTCTTATCTCTTCTGACATGTCTTACCCCCAGTACATTAACTACACAAGGATAGAAGTCTTTATGTTTTTTCTCTCAGCATCTCCCCAGTGCCTATCACAGTGCAAGGTAAACAGCTGAAGTCGATTAATACTTCTCAAATGAAGGTGAGATTAAGGCTTGGGAATCAGGCCTTGATTAAATCTCGCTTCAACACCCTCCACCCAGCTACATACGCTCCTTGTGCCTCACTTCCCTCCTCTGTGAAATGGACATATCAGGATTATTTAATAGATGTGTGACCAGATGGAAACAGTGTGAGTGAAGCCAGTAGCAGGGATAAGATGAAGTAAATGGTGCCTGGGGTTACTATTATTAGTCTTCTGAACTGGGGCTTAGCAGTCCTTTCCTTACTTCTTTAGAGCCATACCTCCACCAGGCTCTGAGTCAGGGTTCACTTCTTCACCTCTTTTTTAAAAGATTTTATTTACTTATTTTTATCTTTTAAAAGATTTTATTTATTTCTTTTTAGAGAAGGGAAGGGAGAGAGAAAGAGAGGGAAACATCAATGTGTGGTCGTATCTCACGCACCCCCTACCAGGGACCTGGCCTGCAACCCAGGCATGTGCCCTACATTGGGACTGAACCAGCAACCCTCTGGTTCACAAACCGGTGCTCAATCCACTGAGCCACACCAGATAGGGCTATTTATTTATTTTTAGAGATAGACGAAGGGAGGGAGAAAGAGAGGGAGAGAAACAATGATCAGTTGCCTCTCTCGCACCCACCCCAACGGGGGCCAACAGACCAGGCATGTGCCATGACCGGGAATTGAACCAGCCACTTCTCTGTTTGCAGGATCATTCTGAACCAACTGAGCCACAACACTGAGTCGGCTCACCTCTTTATACACCAATGCCCAGCCTGGCTTTGCAGTCCTTCCCTCCTCCCCAGGGCTGCCCTGGATGCTCACACTCTAGTCCTTAAATTTCTCTCCCCACTACAGACCCCTCCCCATAGGAGTGAAAACTGTCCACTGACCACAGCTTCCCTCGCTGAGGAGATGAGGCCAAGTGTTCAGGATGTGGTAACAGCGAAGGTGACTGGGTATTTCTGGCCTTAGCTAGCACCGGCTTTGGGGCCACCCAGCTTGGAGTCCTGCTGGCCATATAAGCCTAGGCTTTTAGGGCTCTGTTCCCAGGATGGAGGAAATTCTGGCCTCTCCCAGGACTGGGAACGCCCAGCATGTGGCTTGTGCACACAAGCACGGCAGCAGTTCGTCACCATCTATGGAAGAGGGGGGAGTAGCCCAAAGGTTCTAACAGCTGTTTTTAGCCCAGCCCGCTGAGTCACACCTACCCGGCTCCACCCCAGAGGGGGCCCCAGGGCCCCAGCCCTTGCCCTGAGGGTTTCAGGCGGAAGTAAGAGACCGCAGGCTCCTGGAGAAACAAGCTGCCCAGTTTTTAGCCTTGCTCTCCAGCCAGCTGCCAGGGGTCTGGATGATTCAGGGCTAGGGCTGTGGGTATCACTGGTGTACTCTCTCCCTAACAGGCCCACCGCTGCATTCCTCACACACACGCAATAATTATCTGTGAGCTCTGCACACCTCCAAAAAAAGTAAAATTAATGAATGGGTAGAGAAGCAGGAGTTGTTGAAGAGAAACAGAGTGGGGAGAAAGCATGCCTGGCTGAGAACTGGCAGAAGCAAAGACCCCTCTAGGTACATGAAAGAAACAGCACTTGTCAGTGGTTGCAAGAGGCCCTCCCCAAAACCGGATTGACCCTCCCCCTCCTTTACTGGGTGGACTTGGGAGCCCCACCCAGCCTAGAGCACCTGGCAAGTCAAGACACGTCCACAGATTTATTACTTCCCCACCCCGAGACGCCAGGCTGGCGGGTCTGGGAGGCCTGTGCCACTGACACCACGAGGGGAGCACAAGCTGGTCAACTGCACAGCAGGAGCTGGGACAAGGCCAAGCGGCGGTTCTGTTTGCAATGCTAATGCACGGCTGTCGGAGCAGGCCACATCCAAGTGGGGCAGTACCCAGTGGGCATGCCATCAGGTGTTAAATGTTGCTCAGTGCCTCCGTCTTCCAGCTGCCATCTCCAGGGCAAGCTGTGTGGCCCCTGGGACACCTAGGGCCTGTGAGAGCCGTTCCTCACTGGGCACCAGCCAGGGTCCTGGGGAACCCGGGGACTGGTGGTCCGAGTCCCCCGGGCGGAGCTCAAGCGGAGGAACAGCAAGGCTGTCAGTTGCCCCCTTGGGGCTAGGCTCTGGGGTGCCCCGGGTCTTGGGTGTTGTACAGGGTTGAGGCTTCTGAAGTGGGGAAGCGCTGGCCCTAGGAGACCTCATCACCTCCGGTCCCCCAGGATCTGGGCTGCAATCTGGGAATGGTAGGAATGCAGATTAGACTGAGTGACAGGGGAGGGTACAGAGAGCTGGGCCCCCGGGCCAAGGGTGGCCAGAAGACTCTTCAGTGCTGAAGGAGACAGAGACACCGCCCCTTAGAAAAACCTTCCAGCAAGGCCCAGATATGCTCTTCAGGAACCACTACCACCCTTCAAGATCCCCAACACCTCCTTTCCAGAGACCCAGCCCCTCCTGGATCCAAAACACACCACTCAGAAATCATTTCCCGCAATACCCAAAGGAAATCAAACCTCTCCCATCTCAGTTCCCAAAGTCTCCCCTTGCACAACCCACCTCCCTCTAATCCCTGCCTTTTCCCTTATGAATCCCTTTTCTTTAGGAACTAGACCCCTTACCCTCTGCTTCCCCACCCCATCCCCTCCCTGCTAACACCACTCAGCCTTCCTCTCCAAGGTCCACAACCCTTCCTTCTGAACACCTGCTTTTACTCCAGGCCCCTTCCTTCCCCCTCCCTCCCAGTGCCTCCTCTCTGAATCCCACCTTTATTCTTGTCCTGGGGCCTTGCTCTCCCCAACCCCACTTTTGAGAATGTCATGACCCCCTCACAGACACCAACTGGATGGCTCTCCCCACTGAGCCCACCAAACCCTTCCCACACAGGACCCCAGCCTCTCTGCTCTGCAACCCTTTCCATCCCCTCACAGATCCCAGACCCCTCTCCTCTGGGAAACCCACCGTCTCCTTTCCGAGGTCCTCCCCCCATCTCAGGCTTTCTGGGATGGCTGTCAAGAGGCCTGCTCAGCACGAGGTGGAGCCGGGGCCCGCCCGTGCGAATTCGCTCCACCACCTGGGCATGGGTGAGGCCCTGAGTTGACTCTCCATTGACATGGAGCACGAGGTCACCAGGCTGCCAGAGGACAAGGTGAGGGGTGTTGTAGAAAGAGCAAATGGAGAGCACCCCGACAAAGGATGAGGTAAGCACTAGCACCATGGAATGGCGGGTGCCTATGGCTCACCTGCAAGCGACCGCAGCGCTGTGCCGGCCCGTCCTTCAGCAGCCCTCGTATTGCCAGTGGAGCGTCTGTGCCTGCATCTCGGCCTCCCCTTAGTGTGAGGCCAAAGCCTGCAGAACCACGAACCAGTTCCACAGAGAACTGACCAGAGGCCTGGGGTGGCTTCGGAGCACAACGTGCCTTCACGTGCGTCACTTGGGATGGCGCGGTGGGTGTACCCAAGGTCTCTGACCGACGATGCTGCAGTAAGAACACGAAGTGTACATACATTGCCAGCTTCTAGGCAGGTGGCTTCGATTAGGAGGACTAGGTGGTACCTGGGGCCGGTGTTCCATGAAAGTGGGATTAGGCAAGCGACTGTCTGTGACCTCTATGTCTGCAGAATCCAGCTCGCTAATGGCTGGGGGATGAAAGATGAAATCCAGGGTTCAACTGCATGTAAACTACCTAGGTCCTGCCCCATGAGTTGCCATTCTAGCCTCATCTCATTAACTTGCCTCTAGATTGCACAGGCAGAATCGCCCACCCATTTAGCGAGGCTCTGCACACTCAAATAACTGTCCTGATCCCGACTTCTTAAATAATAATCCTGGGCCCAGCTATCTGAATCAGTCTTCATACGTTCCTCCCTCCCTCTAATTACAGGCAGATCCCGACCCTCAAATAAACCATAGGTTCTCTTTGGAGGGTTCATATCCAGGATTTGACTCCTGAACATTCCAGGCTCCACCCTCTAATAGCCTATAAATCTCAACCGATCCTGTCATTTCCAGCTCCCCCACCCTGTCGGTTTATAGGCTCCATCTTTAGCGAGGTGCCCTCCATTGAAAGCCTCATACACGGGGATAAACCATCCGTCCTCGTATCCTCAATTAATCTTCCAACACAGTGTCCTGACCTAGAGGAATACGCTAGAATAACCCCAAGTCACGGCCACCTCGAATCCCCCGCCAAGCCCGATCATCTTTACTCACACCTACCACTTCATAACCTAGCTGCACTCCAACCCTGCCCCCCTAGGAAGGCCCCGCCCTCGTCACCCACCGTCCTTGGGGCGCAGACGCAAAGTGGCGCCCGCCCTGCGCACCAGCGCCGCCACGTCGGCCGCAGCTCGGGCCGCCAGGGGGCGCGCGTCCAGGCGCGACAGGAGCTGCCGGGCGCTGGGGCCGGCCCGCTGCGGAGCGCCGCGGCCTGCGCGGGAGGGGGCGGGGGAGAAAAGGTCAGCGCAGACCCAGAGCCTCGGCGCACCTCCACACTCCTCTACGTCCGAAGACCTAGAATGCTCCTCAGGGTCCCCGGAGCCCTCAAGCCCTCCCTCGATAGTTCCGGAGGTTGCCGACTGTCCCTCTCATCTCCCGCTAGCCCCAGCCATCGCGGGTACTCGCGTGGAGCCCCGCCGGCCTCCACGACATCCCCTGGAGACAGCTATTTGGCCGCAGTATTCCCCGGCACTCCGAAGACCTTGTGGCGATCTCTGGAACTTCCCAACTGCCCCTTCCTCACCCCCGATTCCAAAGTCTTACCCCCGCGATATCGGAAGGGGCCCCGAGTCCCCAGATGCCCCAAGAGAACACAGTCTGCCCCGCTGTGGCCCCGGGACTCACGACTCACCCTCCAGATGCCCTAGGCAACCCTCATGGCCCACGCGTGGCCTCAGGTTGCCCTCCACTTATCCCCAGAGGCCCCTGCCTAAGCCCCTGCTATTATTCACCGCAGACCGTGAGTGCCCAGGCATCCCCAGTGACCCTGAGCAGACCCCTCCGGCACATCTCCCTGGAGACTCCTGAGAGCCCCCGGAGCGGGTGCGCAGCCCGGTGGCACGGGTGCAGGTGCTGATAGGGAGCCTCGAACCCAGCCCGGGTTGTTTGGCCCCTGTCTGCCTCCGCCGCCGCCGCCGCCGCCGCCGCCGACGACGACGACACCGCCACCGCCGCCCGGGTACCAGGCTGCCTTGTTTACCACCTGTCCGAAGGGAACGGGAAAGGGCAGACAGGGGGGGCGAGGTGCGGCGGGACCGCGCCCATCTCACCCCCACCCCAGTACCTCCTCTGCTCCCTCTAGGGTCCGTGGCGCCCCCCCGCACGCGGCTCCATGGCCCAGAGTGGCCCGGGTGGACGCACAGCCGCTAGCGACGCGTTCTCAGCGCCCGCGCGCGCTCACCTGGCTGCTCGCCCGGGCCTGGACGCGGTGAGGCCAGCCTGTTCCGTGCTGGGCACCACAGCCCGTGCGATGACCTACCTGGCGGCCTGCAAGGAGGCGTGGCTGTGGGTGCCAGCGCTTGGCCTCATTCTGCCTCAGGGGTGCCTCTGTTACCCCAGGACCCTGGGCTGGGGTCTGCCTTCCACCCATGGGACGTTGTTATTTCACGTGTGAAAAAGTTATTTCACGTGTCCAGAGAAGTTAAAAACCCCACCCGAGCCCTGACACCTAAAAACGGGATGCAGAACTGGAGCCCAAATTATCTAGGAATTTTGTAGCCCCTAACAGAGCTTTGCACATAGTACACACTCAATAAATTTGCTGTGAATATCTGCCTAAGCCAGTCCCCACTGGGGAACTGGAAGAGTATGGTGGGCTGGGAGGGGCTACCCTTGGAATCTTTGAGACCATGGGAGGGCTTATGGCTCTGAGCCTAATAGGGTTGGAGGCTGAAAAGGGGGAAAGAAAAGGCTCCATAGAGAGTGAAGAGGCAGTCGTAGGGTCCTGGGCTTGAGGAGTCTGAAGGCACATGGGTTGCAGGGGACACCAGTCAATGAGAAGGGAGAAATGAGGCCCTTCCTAGGTTTGAGAAGGTGGAGGTGGTGTCTGGGGACATAGGCCCCAAGGGGGGAGGACATGGGCACAGTGCCACTATAGTGGAAGGAGGGATGGGGACCAGTGAGAGACAGCCTGTGACCATCACTTTGTGGAAAAAGAAACTGAGGGCTGGAGAGGCTCAGGTACCTGCCCAGGGCCCAGCAGACAGTTGACAACAGTACCAGTCTCAGGCGACTAGCTCCTCCCCAACACTCAGTTGGTCCGTGACTGTTTCATTATGGGCTGCGGACACACTGTGTTCTGATGACCATTCTGGCTGGCTGGGCAACCTCTCTCATCCACCCGTCAGGGTTCCAGTGTTGTCATAGGTGATAGGGGCTGAAGGTCTCTGCGTTCATTCCTCCTGCAGTCCACTGTCTCTCCCACCTCTGACCTGGCCTTATCTGTGGGGGTATATACTGGACCTCCTTCAGAGCTCCACCCCATTCTTGAGACTTCAAGCACCGCAGACAGAGGGGGCAGCTTCCGTTCCTGGGCTTGGGGTTTCCAGAACTGGTGGGTGGCATAGGGAGGTGCTTATAGACTGGGGAACAGGAGATTGAGGATCTGCAGATCCCTGAATGGGTGGTCTTGCAGACTGCCGCTTATTGATGAGCAGGAATGCACGGATGGTGAGGGGAGGCTGCCAAGTACTGGCAAGCCTCGATGCTTCAGAAATGGGGCAGGGAGCTTGCCAACTGGATGCGTGCTTAAGGGTATGTAGATAGAGAATTTCTTCCAGACTGGGAGATGCTTAGTTCTGGAAAATTTTGTGAAGCAATGGGGTGTCCAAGGACAGCCTCAAGGATAAAGCGTAGGGGCAGAGGCCCTGTAGGAGCAGAAGAGGGGGTTCTCTGAGAGCCACGTCAGAAAGGTTGCAAATTTGTGGACAGTAGCAAGAATTAGGGCTGAGGGAGCAGTGCTCAGGTCACCGAGAATGCTGGCAGGGTCGGGGAATCCAGACAGAAGGCAGAGGGAGGCCAAGCGCTGGCGCCCACAGCCGCGCCTCCTTGCGGGCCGCCAGGTAGGTCATCGCACGGGCTGTGGTGCCCAGCACGGAACAGGCTGGCCTCACCGCGTCCAGGCCCGGGCGAGCAGCCAGGTGAGCGCGCGCGGGCGCTGAGAACGCGTCGCTAGCGGCTGTGCGTCCACCCGGGCCACTCTGGGCCATGGAGCCGCGTGCGGGGGGCGCCACGGACCCTAGAGGGAGCAGAGGAGGTACTGGGGTGGGGGTGAGATGGGCGCGGTCCCGCCGCACCTCGCCCCCCCTGTCTGCCCCTTCCCGTTCCCTTCGGACAGGTGGTAAACAAGGCAGCCTGGTACCCGGGCGGCGGTGGCGGTGTCGTCGTCGTCGTCGGCGGCGGCGGCGGCGGCGGCGGCGGAGGCAGACAGGGGCCAAACAACCCGGGCTGGGTTCGAGGCTCCCTATCAGCACCTGCACCCGTGCCACCGGGCTGCGCACCCGCTCCGGGGGCTCTCAGGAGTCTCCAGGGAGATGTGCCGGAGGGGTCTGCTCAGGGTCACTGGGGATGCCTGGGCACTCACGGTCTGCGGTGAATAATAGCAGGGGCTTAGGCAGGGGCCTCTGGGGATAAGTGGAGGGCAACCTGAGGCCACGCGTGGGCCATGAGGGTTGCCTAGGGCATCTGGAGGGTGAGTCGTGAGTCCCGGGGCCACAGCGGGGCAGACTGTGTTCTCTTGGGGCATCTGGGGACTCGGGGCCCCTTCCGATATCGCGGGGGTAAGACTTTGGAATCGGGGGGTGAGGAAGGGGCAGTTGGGAAGTTCCAGAGATCGCCACAAGGTCTTCGGAGTGCCGGGGAATACTGCGGCCAAATAGCTGTCTCCAGGGGATGTCGTGGAGGCCGGCGGGGCTCCACGCGAGTACCCGCGATGGCTGGGGCTAGCGGGAGATGAGAGGGACAGTCGGCAACCTCCGGAACTATCGAGGGAGGGCTTGAGGGCTCCGGGGACCCTGAGGAGCATTCTAGGTCTTCGGACGTAGAGGAGTGTGGAGGTGCGCCGAGGCTCTGGGTCTGCGCTGACCTTTTCTCCCCCGCCCCCTCCCGCGCAGGCCGCGGCGCTCCGCAGCGGGCCGGCCCCAGCGCCCGGCAGCTCCTGTCGCGCCTGGACGCGCGCCCCCTGGCGGCCCGAGCTGCGGCCGACGTGGCGGCGCTGGTGCGCAGGGCGGGCGCCACTTTGCGTCTGCGCCCTAAGGACGGTGCGCGCCCTTGTTCCTTACTGGACTATGAGGCTCTAAACAGGAGGCCTATTTTATTAATAGTACCAGAGTTTACTGAGTATTAAATATGGCATGGGTAGGCATCACTTACGTATCAATTATTGATGCTATTTATTTTTATGTCTATTATTTATGACACGCAACTGGCATTCACAAGGGGTTTTTTTCTTAATTATCTTAGCCACACTTCCCTCACCTGTAGGACACAGTAACGCGCACACTGTAGACGATCAGTAAATACCTGTCAAATACCTACACATAGGAAAGAATACCTGGCAAGAATGAGTCCACTTCCTACCACGCCTACCCCCTTGAAGAATTACATTTTCCCTTACGCTTGGCTCGACGCACTCCTGTGAAGTACAGAGCGACACTTACTTCCCAGGGCCCTTTATCCGCCTCCGTCTGTCAGGTGCCGCAATGTTTTATGGGAAAAGTAGTTCTAGGGCTCGTCGTTCGGTCCGCGGCAAACTCAGCCCAAACTAAACTTCCCAGCAAGCAGCGCGCCGGCCTGGGAAGATAGGCAAGATGGCGGATCGCGAAGATGGTGTTTTGAGGTCGGCGGGGCACTCCTCTGCCCCAATTTCGTTCAGCTTCAGTCGCACGGCCGCCCGAAGACGGCTGGCAGACCGGGGAGAAGGCCTGGGTGCGGCTCCGGAAGAGAAGGATTTCTTGAAGACCGTGGAAGGGAGAAAGTTGCAGAGGTGATGCGCTGGGTCTTTCATCCCTTGGAAATAGGTGCGGTGGGTGCAAGCGGGAGGGTGCAATCAGAATTGATTGTCTTGGTGACAGTGGCCTGGAAACCCTAAGTATCGGCCGAGTAAATTCGTGGAGGTGAGAAGGTGGGAATTTATAGTACAGCTGAAGAAATTGAGCCTGATGGCCGTGAGGATTGGCAAGCGAGAATACATCCCGAGAGGGAGTGTCTTTAGGATTTGGAGACCCTGAGGTGTGTGCGTTCTGAAAAAAAGGAAAGGAGAGAATGACAGGACCCCTAGTGTCTCAACTGAAATGACGGGGCTTCTCCGATATGGGGAACTGGATGGAGTGGCAGATTGAGGTTGGGGGAGGCCATCATCCAGCTTAATTCGGGAAGGAGAGAGCCTGAGGAAGAGACTTCCAGAAGAGAATCAACCATTGGGAGGTTGGTGTGGAGCCTGGAACTGGGGAGAGAGTCTGGACTTAAAATGGTGATTTGTGGGTCATTGTGGAAGCCATGGACTGAGGACTGATTGTGTCATTGAGGAATCAGTCCTAATTAAGAGTTGGGGATGGAGGAGAAAATCCGAAAAAGGCACTATCAGAGACATAATTGGAGAAGCAGACAGAATGGAGGGTGTGGTTTGTGGGACCCGGGGGTGAGTTTGGCTCTCGGTGTTTTCTCTGAATGAAGGGGTGTGGCTCAGCACCTATTGACCGTACTCCTCTGCTGACCTCATTCCTCTGTGTTCACATCAGTGTGAATCCCTCAGAAGCCCCCAAGGAACTCATCATCCCTTTGATCCAGAATGGCCTCCGAAGACAGCCACCAGCCCAGGCCCCGGGCCCATCCACAGATAAGGAGGCTGTGGTGGATGGGGTGCTGTCCCAGGCTGTGAAAGAGCTCATTGAGGGTGAGTGATCCCCCTTTGCCTTGCCCTGATGAAGGAATGGGAGAAAAATAGAAGGATATGGTGGGACCTCATCGCTCACTCCCATTCTTCCTTAGAATCCAAGAAGTCTCTGGAGGAGAGAGAGAATGCGGGTGTCGACCCCACGCTCGCTATCCCCATGATCCAGAAAGGATGCAACCCCAACGAGGAAGGGTCAGACAGCGAACGCCAAGCTGAGACAGTGAGCTGGCCCCTCGCCCCCCTCCTGTCCCAGCCTCTCTTTTCCCTGTCTGCCAGCCTTGCCCCCCTGCTGCACAGATGAGGGAAAGCCTGTGTACTAGAGGCCTGCCGCCTATCCTGCCCTCCTTCCATCCTTTGGAGTGCTGGAAAAACACCAAAGAAACTGAATTCCAAGGAGTGGAATGAGTGAAGGGGATGGGTAGTAGATGAGGTCGGAAGTGGGAGTTAAACCAGGCTGGGCCTCGTGGGCCATGGTGAGGACTTTGGATTTTACTCTGAATGAGATGAGAGTCATGAGAGGGCTCTGAACAGAGAAGGGCCAAGACTTATGATTTGACGGGATTTTTCTGATTCCTGTTAGCAGAACAGACTAATAAGCAGAGATGGAAGCAAGGAGACCAGTGGTCTGGGCTAGAGATGAGGGAGACTGACACCAGAGTGGTAGGAGTGAGACCTGGAAGGGCAGGTAGGGTTTAGTGAGAAAGAGCAGAACAGGGCGAGTACTCCTAATGGCAGCAATGACCCAGACAATGGCATGGTGGCAGGAAATCAATGTGCTATGTGTCTTGACAGTGAGGCAACTATGGTGTATTTGGAGTGAGTATAAAGAATTGAGGGAACGATAATGGGAGGTGAGAACACGAGATGTGAGGGTTGTATCTACAAGGTTTGTGCTTTTCATACCCATGGACCCGCTTTTTACCTCTTCATTCACAACTTTTTCTGCATTGCTTCTTTGGTGCCCAGTTTTCTTACAGCCCAGACCACCATCTCTTTTGAATGAACTGTTCTCATCAGCCGTCAGATGTCCTCTAGTTTCTTTCATCATAAAAAAGAAAAAAAGACTTTTACTTCACTCTCCATCCTGTTCTAGCTTTGGCCTCGTTGCTCTCACTTTTCCTCCTCTTGCAGCCTTCCACATCTCAATTGATCACAGTTTCATCCATCCTTCCTCTCAGTCAATTAACAAAAAGTTACCAAAAATAAAAAGGAAAAAAAATAAATTTAAAAAAAGAAAAAAAAAAACCTTATCATCACCTTTGACTCCCCTCTTTGTTTCATATCCCATAAACTGTCAGCAGAGGTCTATCGTCTCCCTTTTCAAAATACATCTAGAATCTGACCACTTCTCCCCATCACCACTAGCAGCATGCTGGGCTGAACCACCAGCGTGTCTCATCGGGACTATTACAGTTTCTTACTCGCTGGTCCTCCTCATGACTGCTACCCTCTTGTGACTCCTGTTGAGCTCTCCTAATTACTTTCTTACCACTCATCTCTGCTTCCACATCTCTGTTTCAGTCAGGTTGACTCATGATGCTTTTCACACATACCAAATCTTGCCCTGCCTCAGGACCTTTGCTCTGAACTGTTCTTTCTGCTTGAAACACTCTTTCTTATATCCTCATGGTTCTCCGCCATCTCCTTCTGGTCTCTGCTCAAACATCAACTCAGTGACACTCCATTTGTCATCTTTCTCATCTACTTAACCTGCTTTATCTTCCTTCATATAACTTATCACAACCTGACATATCATGTTTTATGTATTTTGTTTGTTGTGTCCTACAACTGGAATGTAAATCCTACATGGGCAGGATTTTTTGTCTGTTTTGCTCACTACTTTATCCCTAGCACCAAGAACAGTACCTGGCACTAGGTGCTTTGTAAGCATTTGTTGAGGGACTGAACTGGAGTATTAAAGTGAGGGATGGCAAGAGGAAATCAATAGTTACCCTTGAGCCCTGACTAGTATGCCTCAGTTGGTTGAGCATTTCCCCACAAACTGAAAGGTCGCCAGTTCAATTCCTCATCTGGGCACATGCCTGGGTTGCAGGTTGATTCCTTGTTTAGGGTACACGCCAAAGATAGCCAATCAGTGTTTCTCTTTCATGTAGATGTTTCTCTCCCTCTCTTCCTCCCTTCCCCTCTCTCTAAAAATAAATAACTTTTTTTTTTAAAAAAAAGCTAACCTTGAGCTGACTAGAAAAGAAGCATTGAGGGTCACCCAGTAGGTGATAACAAATTCACATCAGAGGGCCTGTGATAAGCAAAGCCTGACTGTCATTCCTCCGCCTGAACCCATAGGTGCCCAAGGAGGCTGATTATGAGGCAGTCCCTGTGGAGGCTTATGGGCTGGCCATGTTGCGGGGCATGGGCTGGAAACCTGGCCAAGGCATCGGCCGAACCTTCAATCAGTGAGTTTTGGGGTAGGGCCATGGGGACAACAGATAGGGCAGTAAATGAGACCCCTGTGGTTATCGCCCATCCAGAACCATCTAGGCATAGGACAGACACATTACCATCCCAACCAATTCAGTAGTCTCTTCCACTACTGTTTCAAATTCCTGTTTGTCCTTTGAAACTCTGTAGTGGGATTCCATTTATTGAAAGATTGCCTGTCTGGGCATCAGCTTCCTTGTGTGAAAAATAGGGGCTCTCCCTCCCAGGAGCAGGCCCATACCTTTCCCTTCCCCCTCTTCATCTCCCAGGTGCATTACCTTTAGCTTTGTCTCTCCTAACAATGTTCCCAGCTTTAGTAAGTGTACATCAAAATTTTTAAAATGAGGATAATAACAGCATTGACTTCCTAGATCTGTTGTGATAGTTAAGTGAAATTATACATGTAAAGCACTTACAGTGGGTGCTGACCCCAAATAAGCAAAGACTAGATATTTGTTATTATCGCATAGACTTATAATCCCTTCTCCACAGTTCTAAACTCCAAAGAATTCTGAAAACCAAAGTTTTTTTCATAAATCTTTTGGTAGCCAAATGTGACCCAAATTGACATAGAGTGTTTTATAGTGTGTTTCTCCTGCTGGGTATGAATATCTCTACGGTTTCCCCTGTAGAAATAGTGTATTTGATTATACTATATATCCTATGTAATGGATGGCACATGTAGCATATTATTAGGTTGAAGCAAATGAAGTTGCCATTTCTGTAGGTCAAAAGCAGTCCTAACATGAGATGGGGAAATATATTCTTAAAAACACATGCCCTGACTGGTGTGGCTCAGTGGATTGAGCACTGGCCTGCGAACCACAGGATCGTTGGTTCAATTCCCAGTCAGGTCACATGTCTGGGTTGCAGGCCAGGTCCCCAGGAGGGGTTGCTTGAGAGGCAGCCACACATTGATGTTTCTCTCCCTCTCCCTGTCTTCCCCTCTGTCTAAAATAAGTAAATAAAAAAATAAAATAAGTAAATAAAATCTTTTGAAAAAAATACTGAAAGGGTGGGACTTGTAGGGGTTGGGGGCAGGGAGTGAGCATCAACGACTGTAGCATCCCCCAACAAGCTCATATTCTGTGCTCCCTACAGAGTGGTGAAGCCTCGTGTCAACTCGCTGAGGCCTAAAGGGTTAGGGCTGGGCGCCAGCCTGACTGAGGTCCAGGCACTGGCCCCCACCGGCCCCCACCGCCTGCTGAGGCCAGATGAGGAGCAAGAGAAAGATAAGGAAGACCAGCGTCAAGGACTGGTGCCTGGAGGAGCTGTGGTGGTTCTTTCTGGCCCTTACCGAGGCCTCTATGGCAAGGTAAGGAACCAAAATGTGCCTGGAACCCAAGACAGGCAGCAGGAAAGATTGATGTGAGGGTCAGAACTAAGAAGAATTGGGTTTGCGGTAGAAAAGCTGGAAGTCCTTGTCTTTTAGGCCTGCCTGGCTCATTGCCTCATTTGGTAACTCAGGACCACTTGCTGGATCTTTCTCAGCCTCAGTTTTTTTACTAAAGGGGAGAGAATACTATATGCCACAAGTCCCTGAGGATTAAATGCTTAAAATATATCTAAGACCCACAATCTGGTGGGGGAGATACAGGGACCCATCCTAGTCTCAGACCTCAGAGATCAAAGTCAGCTGGGAGAGACACAGTGATCAAACCTGGTCTTCACTCTCAGGGGTCACAGTCTGCTGTGGAAGACATAGGGGTCAAGCCGATTAGAGGTAAGGGTGGACAGCTTGGTCCTAGAAATGTGGGTCGAGCCCACTCAACCTTTGCCTGACTTCTTCATCCTCACACTTTAGGTGGAAGGCCTCGATCCTGACAATGTTCGGGCCATGGTTCGTTTGGCTGTGGGGAGCCGCATGGTGACTGTTAGTGAGTACTGCCTACAGCCTGTCTCCCAGCAGGAATTTGACAAGAACTCCTTGGATCTCAGTGAGTGAGCCTCTTATCTCACTAGTGGAATTGGAGAAGTGTGCCTGGGGGTGGGTAGGGCCTGTCTTGGGTGGGTGTTAGATTTGCAAAGGGGAGAGGCAATGGTGTCTGCCTGGCAGGTATGCCTGGTCAGAGGTCAGGAGGTGAGAATGGAGATAGTGGTTTCTTCAGTTTGACTGAAGAGTCACCTGGTAACCCCAAGTCTTTAGCCTCTTTCTGAAGGAGAAGAAACAAGTGTGCAAACCAGTTTCTACCCTCAGAAGTCTTTGTCTATTTAGGACGATGAACCTCTCTTTTGTTAGGGAGTGAGAACAGCTAGGACTAAGGCATAACAGGGGAGGAAGGCATTTTAGGCATATTGGTAGAAAGGGGCAGTTTAGCAGGTGGGAGCAGAGCTCTCCAGGACTCCTAGCCCACGCTAGGTGGTTGACTCAGGTAGGCACTGTCAGCACGGGCTGGGGTGATTGCAAAAGGAAGACTTCCTGAAGGAGGCTGAGGCAGTTGAGAGGAAGGGGATAGCATTCTAACAGTCCAGGCAAAGGCATGATGGTAAGAGGGGACACGGTGGATGGGAGGTGGCCTGAGGCTAAGGCGTGGCCTTGAAGGAAAGAAAGTGAGACACTGGAGCTCTTTCCTGGTTCTTCCCACACCCCCTTTAACAGGCCAGGTGAGCAAAACTTCTCCAGGGCAACAGAATGGAACAGCCTCGTCGTCACTGAAGGCCTTCCCGAATCAGGACCTCCCCACCCGGCGGGGAACAGAAGAGAGGAAGCGGAAACACCTTCCAGACCGGTGAGGCCCTGGCCATCTGGGATGGTGGAAGAAGATGGGGGGGTATGGGGAGGTTCTAGCAGTCGGAGAAGGCTTCCAGGGCAAGGCAGATGCATAGAAGGAACTAGAAACGGCACTATGGGTGGGTTTTACAGCATCAGCAAAGGTGGGTTGACTAGAACATGCATGTGACTTAGCCTGGTGTCTGCTCCATCTCCACAGACAAGACAAGACTACATCCAAGAGTGAGAAAGTGGCCTCCAGGAGACAGCACTGGTTGCACAGGGACCTGCGTGTGCGGTTTGTGGATAAGCTGCACAAGGGCGGGCAGTATTACAACACCAAGGTGGGAACCCCACAGCCTAGATTGCCTTTCTCCCCCAGGGATTGGGCCCCTTTCTCTCTCTAATGTTCTCACATCCCCTGATCTTGTCCCCAGATGACAATTGAAGATGTCCTCAGCCCAGATACTTGTGTGTGTCGGACGGATAAAGGCCAGGTCCTGGAAGGTGAGTCTGAGAGTCAGTCACTGGGTTGTTATCATCCTAGAGGCTGATCAAGAAGTCTGTCTGCCCTGTGTGGGTGGCTCATTTGGTTGGAGCATCATCCCATATACCAAACAAAAGGTGGTGGGTTCGATTTCTGGTCAGGGCACATACCTAGGTTGCAGGTTCAATTCCCAGTTGAGGCACATACAAGAGGCAACTCATCAATGTTTCTCTCCCTCCCCTCCCTCTCTACCTTCCTGCCCTCCCTCCCTCTCTAAAAATCAATAAAAACAAAAACATACCCTCAGGTGACAATTTAAAAAAAAAGGCTGTCTTAGGCCAAGAGCCTGCCAAGGCAAAGGCTGGGAGGTTGGGCAGAGTTAAGGTTTTTTGCAGGGACCAGCATCTTAACACAACATTAGACACTTACCTGAGCTTTACTTTCCACATCTGCAAAATTAGCACGGAAATGACCTGTTTTCTCCTTATTGTGACTGGTGCCCTATAGAGGTGTGTATTGAGCTCCTCTTGCAGGGCAGGGCTTACAACATGGTCACAATAAGCAGTGTCTCTTATCACCACTATCCATCACCATAATATGTAAATACTCCCTTGAGAACAACTATTGCTAGGAACTGTTCCTTAGGTTTCCTCATCTATGAAGTGGGTATGGTGGGACTCGCATCTGTCAATACAGTACAGAGTGACCCCAGGGAATACAGAAAAGGCCCTTGGCTGCAGACCTCACTGCCCTCTCCTTCTCTGTAGGTGTCAGGGAAGACATGCTGGAGACCCTCATCCCCAAGGTCCAGGGCAAACGGGTGATGGTAGTGCTGGGGCCACAGTCTGGAAGGGTGAGTCCCAGACCTGGGAATGGGGGTGGGAGCATGCAAGGCATGAGTGGGGGTCTGGGTTGGCCTAGCTGACTCCACCTGTCCCTACTCTAGGTGGGCCGTCTGCTGGGCTGGGACAGAGAGCAGAGCCAGGCTGTGGTTCAACTGCGGAGAGAGAATCGACTCGTAGAGCTTCACTATGATGCTGTCTGCGAGTACATGGGCCCCAGTGACTCAGATGAAGACTGACCCATGGACTCATTCACTTCCCCAGGCACTTACCAGTTCTGTACAGTTCGAAAAGCTCACCTTTGTGAAGGTGGGGAGGTCATTGTTGCATCCTGTACTTGCAGTGCAGCCCTGGGACAGGGACAGGGCACAAAATGCATAGACCAGAGGGAGGCTGGAAAGAAACCTAGTATTTACCAGCAGTTAGTGTAAAATAAAAACCATTGCAATTATTTAGTAAAATGAAGAGCTCATAATTGGTGTGCTGAGCTGTGAGTGGAGGTGGGAGCCATGCTGAGGTGGGAACCATTTCATTTTTCAGCCCCATCCCCCTGCTTGGGCTGCCAGACAATGTAAAGGATCCATTCACTGCCCTGGCCGAGCATTGTCCCATACACTAAAAGGTTGCTTGTTCAATTTATGGTCAGGGCACATGCCTAGGTTGTGGGTTTGATCCCCGGTCGGGGCACATACAGGAGGCAGCTGATCAATGTTTTTCTCTCCCATCAATGTTTCTCTCACTCACTCTCTCCCCCTCCCCCCTTCCCTTTCTTTTTCTCTAAAATCAATTAACATCCTCGGGTGAAGATTTTTTAAAAAAGGATCCATGCCGTGGCTGGTGTGGCTCAGTGGATTGAGTGCTGGCCTGTAAACCAAAGGGTTGCCAGTTCAGTTCCCAGTCAGGGCACATGCCTGGGTTATGGGCCAGGTCCCTGGTTGGGGGTGCATGAGAGGCAACCACACACTGATGCTTCTCTCCCTCTCTTTCCCCATCCCTTCCCCTCTCTCTGTAAATAAGTAAATAAATAAATCTTTAAAATAAAAGGATCCATTTGCTCACAAGCTCACTTGGAACACAGAAGCTATGAAATTTGTCCCCTAAGCAGATAATACGGAGTTGAACACATCTCTGGACAATTTTCTAAGCAAGGATCCTAACAGTGGCTCTGCTTCTTGGTCCTGCGCAGACGCCCAGAGGATCTCTTGAGGCAGTGATGGTAGTCAAGAGGAAGGGAACCCATGAATGGAATGTATTAGCACTACCTTCCAGAGAACACAGTGAATTTCGTGGGCCCTATTTTAGTCCCAGAACTTCGGCTTGAGGGTAAAAAACTTTTGTCTGTCTCAAGTAGAATTCCTCTGGGTGCTCCAGATAACTGGATTCTAAAAATGTCGAAGAACCTTCAAACTTTCCTGTTTCATGGTCTGGGATAGAGAATCAGCAAGGGAAGTCAGAGCTTTAGACACAATTGTTTCTGAATCATCCCTAGCCACTAAGTTGATATAATAAATATGATTTGAGTTAGATCTTAGCCACCTGTATAAAGTCCTGATGGGTTAGAATATGGCACAGTGCTGGAAAATTTAAACACCCTTAGAACAGGATAGTAAAGGTAAGCTGCCCCCATCACCGAGCAGAAGCAGACTGCTGTTTAGAGCCTAAATGATCTGGCCAGATCAGTGGCCACGTGACCCTAAAGGAAGAGATGACTAGAAAACCTTCTAATGTTTTCTAACTTCAGTATCTCCAGTATGAGGTACACTTGCACAGACTGACTGACTTTTTCATCATCCGTAATTAATTCCAGAACTCATCTGTTTTCAAGATTGTCCAAACAGGCTTGTTAAAACAAACAGCAGGGACAAACCCATACTCCCACTTCCTCCAGTTCTCCAGTCATCCTGATTGCACACACTACCCTTTGAATTCCACACTTGGTTATATTTTAATCCTGTGGGGAAAGGTTGGGATTCTAGGGGTTCCCAATTTGGCATGTTCAGTAGTCAGTTTCCTATGCTGTATGTGCTTCACCCAGTCAAGAAGGTCTACTCCTTTCTCCAAATCATAATAAGTCCATGTTGGTAACATCTTTAAGAAGAGCTCAGATCTCCCTGGGGAAGGGAACTGGTCCCGTGTGTCTGCCCTGCAACATGGCATAACCTGGCAGTTTTGGACAATCCCTTCATTTCCTCCATGTACCATGATACTTAAAATAGATCTTTCATCAGACTCTGATTTCCTGCAGTTAATGTTTCTTCAAAGCCTGCTTTTGAAAATGGCATGAAGTTCTTGAATACTGCCCTATGTCCAGAACACAACCCTAGGTAGAGTGTCTGGTCTCCCGTGACAGACCATAAAGCTTTTTGTGCTTCACCTGAAAGGATCTCTCTTGGTCCCTCAGTTTGAGGACAGAGCTCCTTACGTTCTGAGAAGTGTGGACAATATAGGGAGGCTTTCCCAATCTGCCCTTTATTGTGCACAAGCAAAGACTTGTTTCTCAAGACCCTTTGCGTCTGCACCATTTTCCCTTGGCTTGCTGCCTGGCATTTGCCTGCTGCCAAGGTTTCCCCTTGGGCAATGGTTACTGCAGCAACAGTTTCCATGAGTCTTTGAATCTTCCACAGACCACTCACAAGGTGGGGACTGTGATCCATACAATCAGTCTAGACTGGCTTCTTCCATGTGCCAGGGATTGAGCAAGATGTAGGTGAAGAAGTATCTCTTATGCCAAGTCCCAGTTTTCCTGGCAGGATGTTGCCTCTGTTGAAAACAGTCCAGACAGTGACCCAAGAATTTGTGGCAGCAAACTCAAAAAGCAGCTTCTTGGCCCTGATCGGTGTGGCTCAGTTGGTTGGGCCTCTTTCTGCGAAGCAAAAGGTCGCTGGTTTGATTCCCAGTCAGGGAACATGTCTGGGTCGTGGGTTCAGTCCCCAGTCGGTGCGTGCGAGAGGCAACCAATTGATGCTTCTCTCTAGCATCGATGTTTCTTTCTCTCTCTTTCTCCCTCCCTTCCCCTCTCTCTAAAAGAAATTTTAAAAAAGAAGCAGCTTCTCTGCCTTTCATAGAGAAATAAATTACTTGGATGATTAGGACTGCCTCCTGTGGCTGAGCTTCGTGGCAGGTGCATAGAGGTAGACTCTTCTAACATGCCTTCTTCAACATGCTCCCCTCCACTTGCATATTGAGGCCTCCTGAGCTCCATGCCTGTAGCACCACACAGAGGGATGAGTACCTGACACCTTAGAAAGCTACATGAGGTGGGTCCTGACCAAGTGTCCCTACTGCCCCCAGTTTATTCAACAAGCATCTGTTGATCCCCTGCTATATTCCAGGTACTATTCTCCGTCTATGGATACAGTAGAGAGTAAATTATTTCTTCCAACAAATATTGAGTCCCTACTATATACCAGGCATGATTCTATGTACTGGGGATATGGCCATGAACAAAAAAAGATCTTTGTCCTTGTGGACCTGACTGACATTCCAGTAGGGCTGAGAGATGATAGATGATAAGCATAAGAAGGAAATTACCTAGGTGATAAGAACCATAGGGGAAAAAGAAAGAACAGCAGGATAAAGGGGATCTAGGGTGGGAAGATGGCAGTATTCATAGAATGGCCAAGGAAGGCTTTACTACAGAAGTGACACTGAGCAAAGAGAAGGAAGCAAGGGAGCATAATGCAGCTTTCTGGAGAACGAGTGGTCCAGGCAGGGAAAACAGTGGAAAGGCTCTGTGGTGGGATAATTGCTGGCGTTCTAGGGGCACAGTGGAGTGTCCAGTGTGGCCACAACAGAGTAAATGAGGGAGACAGAGGTAGGAGGTCAGGTCAGACAGGTAGTGCAGTGCTTTCAGGGACACGCACTCACACGGCCACACTCGGTACACCTGCCCCTTCAGTGCTTTGGTCAGTCTGACTGATTTCTGCTGTTGGGAACTGATTCTCCCACAGGCTGCCCAGTGAGGGTATTGGTCTCAATCTTGGGAAGCATGTGCCTTCCCAGACCTCAGAGGGGTCTTCAGTACCTGACTTCCACGCATCCCTGGTCTTTTGCTGCTTCTCTGAGAGAGTTATCATTGCCTGCAGGTCACCAGAGACAAGCAGCAAAAGGGGAAAAGCACTACATGTGTCCTCCAGTTTCCTTACAGCATCCCAATGAGAGAACTAAATGCCACAACTAATCTTTTTTTTTTTTTCCTCACTAATCTTTTGGGAGTTCTGATTTTCCTCATAACGTCCTCCCATCCAGTAACAGCTGTTTGTATTTGGGGCCCTAAGAGATGATTTCTTTTATACCTTCTAGCAAAAACATCACAGAGTGACATGGACATGGAAAGAGAGAGTGGTGGCCTATGAAGGCAGGGTTGTATTATTTCTAAAATAACATGTATACACCTCTGAACCATTACCACAATCACGATAGTGAACATATCATTACCCTCAAAAGTTTCTTCTGCCTCCTACTAATCCCTTCTTCCTGCCTTGCTTTTATCCACAAGCAACCACTTACCTGCTTTCTGTCATTATAGTTTAGTTTGCATTTCCTAGAGCTTTCCATCAATGAATCATTGAGTATGTACTCTTTTCTGTCTGACATGCTCTACAAAATTATCAGAGATTCATCCATGTAGTTCCATGTATATTCACATAGCATAGAATCCACCTCTTTAAAGTGTACAACTCAAGTGGTCTTAGTATACTCCCAAGGCTGTATACCACCACCAATATGTAATTCCAGAACATTTTATCACCTCTAAAAGAAAACTCATACCAATTAGCACTCACTCTCTGTTTTCTCCTCCCCAAGGTCTCTGGCAACTACTAACCTGCTTTCTATCTCTACAGACTCACCTATTCTGGATATTCCATATAAATGAACCATAAAATACATGGCTCTTTGTGTCCAGCTTCCTTCATTCAGCATGTTTTCAAGGTTCATGCGTGTTATAGTATTTATCAGTACTTGATTCTTTTTGTGGCTTAATAATATTCCATTGTATGGATATACCACCTTTTGTTCATTCATCTGTTGATGGGGATTAGTCTTTGTATGGACATATACTTGTTCTCCTTGTGAGGACATGCCTAGAAGTAGAATAGTTGGATCATATAATAAGTATACTATGTTTAATGTTTTAAGAAACTGCCAATATCGCAAGTGTCCAGCACAAGATGTAGCATATAGTGGGCTTTTTATGAATAATTGTTGTGTAAAGAATAATTGATTTTATGACCAAAAAAACCCAAGCCTGCCAAACTGTCTCCAAAGGTGATCATACTATTTTACATCCCTAATAATGTAAGAGTTCTAGTTCCTCCACAACCTCATCAATTTTTGGTATGGTCAGCATTGTTTTTTCAGAATTATAGATTTTTATTTTTTTAATTTAAACTTTGTTTTCCATTACCATTTAATCCCCTTATACCCCCCGCCTCCTTCAATCACCACACTGTTGTCCATGTCCTTGAGTCCTTTGTCCTTTTTGCTCAATCTCTCCACCACCTAACCTACACATCCCTCCCACCCCCATTATCTGTCACCTGCTCTCGATCTATATGGCCCCATTTTTCTTGTTTGTTTAGTTCGTTCATTAGATTCCACATATGAATTAAATCTTATGGTATTTCTCTTTCTCTCACTGGCTTATTTCCCTTAACATAGTGTCCTCTAGGTCCATCCATACTGTCAAAAAGGGTAAAATTTTCTTTTTTACAGCCACGTAGTATTCCATTATGTAAATATTCCATAGTTGCTTTAGGTGTAGTCAGCATTTTGATTTTATCCATTCTAATATACGTTTCTGGTATCTCAGTGTGGTTTTAATTTTCGTATCTCTAATAGCCAGGGATATTGAGCATCTTTTCATGTGTTTATATGCCACCTGTGTATCTTTGGTGAAGAGTATGTGAAAATTCTTTGCCTATCTTTTTAAGTATATATATTTTTATGCTATTACAGTTTTCCCAATTTTCCACCTTTGCCCTCCTCCACCTGGTAACCTCATTCCTTCCAGCAGCCACCCCTTAGTTCATGTCCATGGGTCATGCACATAAGTTCTTTAGCTACCCCATTTCCTATACTGTTCTTAACATCCCCCTATTTTGTACCTACCAATTTGTACTTCTTTTTTAAAAAAGATTATTTGTTTAGCCCTGGCTGGTGTGGCTGAATGGATTGAGTGATGGACTGAGAACCAAAGGTCGCTGGTGGGAT